AGGACAATTGTAGTTCGTTTTACGTATGCCTACCATCACGCGGCCAGAGCTTAATAACTTCGACCTGCGGTAGTCCTTCTGGTGTGGTCTCTGCAACAGCAAGCAGTCTATTATCTTTTGAATAAGATAAACATCAGCTTACCTTGAGTAGCTCCTGACTGATTCCTCTTCAGCATCTGATCAATTAGCTTTTGCTGCGCAGCTGTACGATCCATTTGCACTTCACTTTCCTTGAACAATGAATCACCAGATGGAAGTCTAGCGGTGTTTGCAATAGGTGATAAAGGAGAATTAGATAAGGCTGTCTTTCCTCCAGAAGGCTGCACCTTAACTTCTGATGGTTCACATGCTGTCTTCTTCCGATTTGAGACATTTGTATCGCTGTTGTCGTTCCTAGCAAGATTCCATTGATCAATCAGTGGTCGAGTACCCGAAGCGGCTATAGGTGATATAAAATCGGTAGACTTTCCGACAGCTGAGCGCAGCGGGGACAGCCCATCGGGCACAACAGTTCTTTGTTGTTCGAATTTGAGTATTTGATCAGTAGGTATTGCTGATGGTCCGAGAGGCACTCGAAACTTAGTTCTGCCACACGGTGTACCTATTGGCGACGCTGTCACCAACCGTTCTGTGCTGTGATCATTAGATTCCGCTGCTGCACTGAACTCGGTCGTTGTGCTACCGAGGCTATCTGAAAAATTTAACTTTTTGGGAAAAATCATCCAGAACTGTTCTCATAGTTAGAAAGTGCTCTCTACTATAAAAATTTTAGTTTCCAACCTCCAGTTGTAGTTTGAGCATCCAGTATTACTATTTGGTCTGTAGGTATTGCTGAAGGACCAAGAGGCACGTGGAGTTTTGTTCTTCCACAAGGGCTTCCTATCGGTACAGCCGTTGGTACATAGTCCCCGCTTAGACTTGCTTCAGCGTGGGATCGGTATTCCAAGTTGCTGCTGACAGAGCTGTCTGTAATAATAATCACTATTGAGCGAATTTGCCTGACACCATAACTTACCCATAGACATTGACATAGAAGAAGTGGGTATTGCGCCTTGGGCAGTAGCCATTCCAACATCTAAAATAAGTTTTCAGAACTCAAAAAATAAGAATTTCTCAATTACCTTCAACTTGCGTTTTGAAAACCATCATTTGATCCGTTGGTATAGCCGAAGGTCCCAAAGAAGGATGAAAACCGCTTCTTCCACACGGAGAATACATTGGTACAGCCGTTAACACTCTTTCCTGGCTTTCATCTCTTGTCATAGTTGTTGTAGCATTGGTCGTGGTGGTGGTGGTTGTACCTTCTTGACATTAAATCTTTCAAAGAAGCATTATAGATACGCCGTAGCAGTACCAACCGTCAGTAGTTATGGATGCAGACATCGTTTTTGACAC